ACTATATTCATCAAAGAGTTTGAAGCCCTAAGATCCATGGTTTAAGTCCATTTTGGACTAGGAGTTCCTTATTGGGGCTAATGGACCAATAAGCACCCAATTCAACTTTATTGGACTTAGAAGCCCTAATTGGATCCTAATTGGACCCAATTCATAAATCTAAAACATTTTGGACCATTTGGGTCATAACAAATCCAATTAACCTTAGTGGATCATAAGCCCATTCTTTTACTCTAATTGGGCCGTGAATGCTTCCAAGATCCCAATGGGCCGAAAAACCTTATGTTTAGGATCCAAATGTCTTAGCTAAAGTTAATGGCCCAAACTACTCCATCATTTCTCCTTGGCCCAAAATATCGACCCATGTATAAAACAAAAAAAAAGAGAATGAAGAGATTATGGGAGGGTTGACTTTCGGAGGTGCCACCTCATTTTTGTTTAGAGGATAACTAAGCTTTAAACCACCATGTATCCATACTAGTCACTTCATCACTCTCTCCCCTCTCCTCTTCTTCTTCTCGGCCGAGAGCCACAACATACACACACACACTCTTCCAAACACTCTCTAAACACTCTCAAAGATCATCCTCTTCCTTCCTTCAAAGAATCTCAAAAATTTAGCTTGGGTTCAAGGATTTTCATCAAGTGTTTTCAATCTTTGGTAAGTGTTATCAAACACAAACATCTTCTTTCATTTCAACATTAAGAACTCTTTCTTATAAAGCTTTACTCCATGATCACCTTAGAAACTCCTTAAGTTCGAAATCAACTCAAGGAAGTTTGCTAGGACCAGAAATCTTCTTCATTTCTCTTCAAAACCGTAACATCAAAGAAAAGGTGAGTTCATACCCCCTTGTTTTCGGTTTTCATGTGATTTGTGGGGGAGAATACAAGTAAAATGTGTAGATTTATGTGTTATATGCATGTTTTGTGTGAATCCTTAGTGTATTTGGTAAAAATGTGTTGGATGTTAGTGAATCTCGAAATTTTAAGTGTTATGTAGCAAAGATCTGAGAACTACAACACTATATACATCATATTATCAATCCAAAAGTGAACACATGTTTAAGATGCAAAAGAATTCAACAAAAACCTTGTAAAGGTCAAAATTGTCAAGAAAACAAAAGATAAGGCTAAAAAGTGAAAATTCTGTTTTTAAAAGGGCCAAACAGGTCCTACATGTATAAAAAGGTATTTTTATGCTAAATATGCTTTTAAAGGGGTCAAAAATGCAAATTTAAGCTTATTGGGCCAAACCTTTGGGCCTCACGGCCTTTGGGCCCAATTTGCGAAAAAAATGAGGTTTTGAGGTTTAAAAAGGTTATTTGTCTAAAGTTTGAGTCATAAATGTAAATAAACCAAGTTTAGAGGTGAAAATGTCATTTATTTTCAAATTGGACCAAAAATGTAAAGTTTTTGCAAAATTGGGCCGAAAGTGTAAAATTTTACAAACAAGGGGCTGAAAATGTACTTTTCTGCAAAACAGGGTTCTAAATGTGAAAACATAACATTTTGGGTTAAAACCGTAAGTTTCAAGACATTTGGGGCAAAATTACAAATTTATAAATTATGGACTAAAGTGTCATTTTTACAAAACCTTGGGCCTTAATTAAAGATTTGAGTATTACTGGCCAAAAATGTCATTTTTACAAAATGAAAGCTTTTATCATCAATCTATTAAAGCCTCGAACTAAAACAAACAACCGAATCAAACGAACGAACAAAATACGTCAAAAACTATTTATTGGGCCCAATATTCACATTTCTTGGCCATTGGGCCCTAAGGGCCCAATTGAGTGTGAAATAAGCCCAATGTTTTCCATGACATGTTTAATGGGTCTTGTGGCCCACTTACATGTTACTTCGGGCCTAAGTTATTGATTACATGTTTATTGGGCTTTTGTGGGCCCATTTACATGCCTATTGGGCCTAAATTACCCTTTTACATATGATTTGGCCTTTGTGGCCTAGTTACATACTAATAGGGCTTGAAATGGAAATTTCATGTGTTAGTAAGCGATAACGATACCCTTATCAAATCATTAAACTTCGTAAATTTAATCATGTACCTTTCGAATACAAAAACATATTACATTTACTAAACATTAAACAGTACAAAAAGAGGTTGTGAATCTAGTGAGACTTGTCGGTTGGCACCACTGAGTGTACAATCGTAGCCTGTAGTTATAATCAGAGTTTCCTGGTAGGAAAGCGGGAGTTTATGTATAGATCTATACGGGGTGACCCCCCACGCCTTAGCTGCTCGCTACAGCTAGACTAGGCCAGTCTAGGGCGACAACATCCTTATCAAGACCGACATTTGGAAAAATACCAAGACGGGCGACCTAGTCATTATCATGCATGGTTATAATAGCTCATATAGGGATTCAATACCAAAAGATAACCTTTTGAAGATAAACTCTTTAATTGCGTTAATACAAAACGACTTATTTAACGATACAAGAATTTAGACATTGTTATAAAACAGAAAATATCGGATTTTCTAGGGGAAATTATTCATATACATTTATCATTTATTCACAATACAATGAAACTAAACTACTTTTTTATAAACTATAACTATGTAATTCACACATGCATTTATACTTGATTTTCACAATATTTTCAGACATTTTACAGAAAATATCGGATTTTCTGGGTTTTTATGAAAGATACAAAGACTTTTACTCAAACATACTTATGAATTCACCAACATTATATATGTTGACCGTTTTCAAAATAACTTGTATTCTCATGTAATCGTTAAGCTAGAAGATATGCAAGTCTATATGGTTTTATGTTATGTAACAACACTTATCGTACTTTTAACAATTAGAACTTATGTATTTTAACAATGTACTTGATGTAAATAATGCCAGTTGTATTATGTAATGTTGGTGATGATCATGTTATGATTCATGTATATTCATTGTGATGATTATTCAATTGTTAGTCACACGAGCTCCCGGATGTTTCTGCCGTATTGTTCGGGGGTGTGACAGGTTGGTATCAGAGCAATTTTTATAGTGAACTAGCATATCTAACCATACATGATATGCAACTATAAACACAATGGGACTAAATAACTCTGAACAAAATAAAAACCTCACACTTATGTGCGCATAGTTGTATTATGTAATGTTGGTGATGATCATGTTATGATTCATGTATATTCATTGTGATAATTATTCAATTGTTAGTCACACGAGCTCCCGGACGTTTCCGCCGTATTGTTCGGGGGTGTGACAGGTTGGTATCAGAGCAATTTTTATAGTGAACTAGCATATCTAACCATACATGATATGCAACTATAAACACAATGGGACTAAATAACTCTGAACAAAATAAAAACCTCACACTTATGTGCGCATACTAGGATAATAATCTAATAACATCTAATAAAAGCTACTGGAGGAAGTTGAACACTATGATTAAAACTGGGCAGTTATGTAGTCATATTAGGGATAAATATATCCTGATCAACTATATTTATTTAGAATATGACCAACATGTGTTTGGGAGTAATCATAGCGGGAAATGAATCCAAAAGCCTACCTTACTCTCCAAAACTATAGGGAACCCAAAACTTAAATAACTACAAATATACTATAGAAAATATTCAAAACGTGATCTATTTATGCACCCTCGTGCAGTCAGTATGGCTGGTTTCCACCACCCTAGCGATCCCTACTTTCCTAATTAGGGAAATAACAGATGGCTAGAGGAGTCTGACGAGGAACCTGAAGAGGACCACGTGGAAGAGGAGGAACCGGAAGAAGAAATCGAAGGGTGACATGCGAAACCTGTGGCAGACATTGAAGAAGAAGAGTCCGGTGACGACAGCGACGATGATTCAGACACTGAGTCTGTAGTCATCAACCCACCATACCCAGTGAGGGTGCCAACTCACCGAATGGGCCCTAACGGCCCTACCCCTCCCTAGGGTATCGACATTTGGAGATAGAGCAGACAACAGGGACAGCGACCCCCATTTGGCATGGCTCGCGAGTTCTATGACTTGAGGGATGGAGGATAGGCTGACCGAGCACTTCCAGTCATAATGAGACGATTGAGGGACACTGGCGATCTGGCTTAGAGCACCGCCGATCAGATGCACCAGATTCGGACTAGGGTTGAGCGGGGGGAGCAGGAAACACGAGAGGTTATCCGGGAGTTCCACATGAGGAAGGTGAGGTGGGAGAGTCGACTTCAAGACGCGAAGCGACAGGTGGCTCGCCTTAAGGGAGCATCCACTTCCTTAGCACCACCTCCTGGCACATCCGACCATGACTAGGACCAGCAGTAGCTATCGTTAGTATTAGGTTTCCCTTAGGCATACTATGCTATATACTACCGACTCTATGTTTAAGTGATTACACTACTCATAGGTTCGTTATGTTGTCGGATTTTATATTTTCTCATGTACTGCATGCCTTTTGGAAAATTTTCATGTATCAAAACTATTAGTATTAATGAAAATGCTTTATGTTTTATCACGACTTGTCGCCTGCTATGTATTTCATTTTCCTTGTTTTAAATGTTAATCACTACTAGAAAAACAACCTTTTACGACGCACAATACGTGTCGTAAAACGCTCAGACGACGCGCAAATGCGTGTCAAGAAAGGCCCTGTCATAACGAGAGACGACACGCTTTTGCGCGTCGTCTATAGACGACGCACATTTACGACGCCCATTTACGACGCACAATGCGTATCATTAAAGCCGTTGTCAAGAAAGGCCATGTCATAAATGAAGATGACACACATTTTTGACTATCGTGATTTTAAAGTTTTTTTAAAAAAAATTATTTATAGATTTACTAATTTTCAAATTAAATTTGCATTTCATGTCTCATAATAGAAAATAAAATACCATATACAAAAAATACAATCCATTGCACAAAAATTTAATGTCATACAAATAATCATTCTAATAGTAGACAAATGTAATACATCAAATGTGAAAGAGATGAAAGTCATCAACAAATAATAGTTTAACTAAAAGAACTTGTTGACCATTTTCATAGCATCCCGGCTACTTTGCTTGACACTATGCACATCAACAAGACTTGCAAATTTGAATCATACAACCATAAGATTCACATAAACCAGGGGCATAAAACAGAAAATAAAATATTAGACATACAAGCTGTGATTTCAGCAGGGGCAAAATGGTCTTTCTTCCAAAAAGATGTACATAGGGGTTGTTTGGTAAAAAACCATTTCATACACATGATAGAAACAGACTTTGCATTCTAGGAAAATTATGACAATTACAAGGGCATAAAACAGAAAATAAATTATGTATACAGGTGCAGTTTTTGGTCCACATGATGAGCTAAAGTAGGGGCAGATTCATCTTTATATAATTTGCTATTTAACCTTGACCAAAAGGTAAAATGTTCATTCTACCTTTTTTTTCCTTCAATCCAAAAATCTTAAAAAACATACCCTAAAGACATGGTTAAGATAGATGACTAAAAAAACTAAAACAAGAAAACAAAAATAACTTTAAGAATGGGGTTAAATAAAAAAAATTACAGATTAATATCACCAGTAACAGTGTCGGACTGCAAAACATTAACAATGTCAGACTGCAAAACATTAAAAAGTTATTCTATAATCTATATATACATGACTTTATGGGAAGTTCCATTGAACAGAGATTCATGGGAAATTTGAACGGGTGAATGACATCATCAATCTCTATTTTCAGGGATGAATTGGAACCAGACTAGGTAAAAGGAAATGAAGGAATAAATTACTTGGTGTTTACACCAAAAAAAAAAAGATTTGTTCCTTATGTAGTATCTTGTATATTGACATTGCTCTAACAATGAATTTGTTTTTGTTTTAACTGTAACTTACTTTTAAAATGGGGTTCTATGAGCCTTTTCCTTATATACTTCATTCAAGGTAGGAATGTACATCTCATGTCTTAATCGACATATACCTGCATCTCAATGGAAGTAGGTTGCTATTTCTTGGATTTAACCGTAAATAAAATTTAGGATACCTTCTTTGCACCAAACGGATGAAATGTTGTGCTGGAACAAACACTCTCTCCATGTCAACAAGTGCAGTCACCATGGTCTTTGCATCATTCTTAAACCCCTCCACAGCTGTTGTAGCAATTGCTACCACCTAGTCAAAACAATAGAACACAACTGTGCCACATCAGCATTATCAAATTGCTATCATGAGTAAAAACAAGTACATTTCCCATATCAGTAGAAAAAAGGCAAAGTACCTCTCTTTTAAATGGAGGATATCTCCCAAGTCCTGGTATAGCATTAGCTGAAGCTGAAACTATGTCAGCAAGTACACAATGAACATGTACTCATTGCAAATCATTACAGAAATGAAATTAAAAGATTAATAATATTAATCAGAGAAAAGGGGAATTAATTAAAAATGAAAAAAAACAAAAGAATGTGTAGTTTTTTTACCTCGTCAACACAGAGACGTGAGGGCTCCTTTTCAAGGTCCAATACACCTTTTATTAAAGAGCGTAATCCTTTCTGGAGATATGAGGTAAGGTTGATAACCATCTGCTTCTAGAACAATCTGATACAAATTCCATTGTCATTATAGAGAGTATTGAATATAAAGTTAAGTGAACCAAAATTTGAGGAAAATATAATAGATACCCTCTTCACATTTTTTATGTCAAAATGTCTATCAAGAGGAAGCTGTTTGATCCTATTAGGAAAGTTACCCTCAAAACTTGCAACAACTTTCCAACCACTTCCCTGAAAAACAAGCATTCAAGTAGGTTAAAATAATAATAATAATAATAATAATAATAATAATAATAATAATAATAATAATAATAATAACTACTTGTTCTTACCTCCCCAGTCATAATATGTTGAAGAAATTTGTCCTCAAATTCATGACAAAGTTCCAAAGCCAAAGCTCTTATACCTTCAGAACTAGTCACCATTGATTCCCCAAGCCTTACCAATTCATCTTGCACAATTTGTGACTTACCCTGAAGCATGCATGAGTTTTAAAAAACAATATGATTAGAGGCCTAACAGATTGCATAAAAAAAGATAAATTAAATATCCTCCTACTTTTCTTCCTAATTATCTTCCCTGTGCTACATGATTTTTACCGTTTTAGTACAAAACAAAAACATTTTTTAGTTTTGGTTCTTATTTGCAAGGTTCCATATAGTTTTTTCTCCCCAAGACTTTCTGATTCTAATACTCATTTCAGAGTTTCATATCAATTTTGGTCCTCATTTCAAGGTTCCAGGGACCAAAATCGATATGAAACCTTGAAATAAAGACCAAAACTGAAAAAAAGTTTTTATTTTGGACCAAACACGGTGAAAAGTAGAAATCACAGGGACTATTTTGTAATTTATTCTTAATCTGATACATAGCAACACAAATTACATAAACCAAGTAATAGCAAAATAATCTATTACAGACATACCCTGATAAAAGACTTGGGAGCCTGATTTTCATTTTGCTACGAATTTGATGAGCAAGGGTCTCCACAAGAGCTAATCTACCAAGCTTGCTTTGAGGGACACCTGTCAATATAGATTTCAAACTTTCACTTTCAGCCCTCCAAGAAGTTTCTAACGAGTTATCTGACCCCACATTTCCAGATTGAGCTGAAGCAATGGAAACTGATTGCCCAATAAGAGCAACCCAAGGGATATCAGCTGAAGTCCTTGGTCCTTGACCCAACAGAAGTGCCTGAACAGCAGCAAGAACTTTCGGATCTGAAGGTGCCTGATCGATTTTACTGATCACACCAATGGTTCTTGTTGCTACAGTAAAAAAAATTATAATTTAATAATTCATGAAGCCTTGACTGGATTGCAATTTGGGAAAACAAAGATTAGTTGTCCCAGATTACTTACCTTTCCTTGAACACTACTTGAAACAACTTATCACCATGACAAGCTAAATCAACTAGAAACTTTCCCTGTTTACATTTTACAACAATACATGTCAATAAATGAAGCAATTATACTACATTTCTTAAAAAAAATGCATAAAATCAGAATAAAATAATGAAATAGATGAAGGGAAGTTAAAAAATAAACAACAGTAAAAAACTAGAGTTTTAGAAAGAAATCATGTAACCATTTTCATCGAACCATTTTTTTTCAATTCCTTTAGTTGAAAAATCACACATATTATAGAACAGAGATTGTATATCTACAAATCTAAAATAAACCCCCTTGCAATAAGGCATAGTCAATGACCCAATTTCACCAGCCTTAGTTACTTGCACAACCACAAATACAAAATTATATTTTCAAAATCTCAAAGCACCAATTGGTTTACTCTAAGAAATTATCACAAAAGAAAAAGATTCTACCTACTCGAAGTACCCAATACCAATTGCTTTACTTTAAGAAGTGCTAGTGGGATTCACCGAGTCAATTCCAGTGGCCTCAGCCTTTTAGATGTTTATCAACAACAACAGAGACTGCCTTAGATGAGTTGAGTTATTTTGAGCGGAATCTTTCAATGCAACAGAGACTTTAGCAGAGTGTTTATGAACGCTCCTTATGTATGCCAGGTGGTGGTCCTGCAATGAACCTTGATGTTAATTCCATGGGTCGATTTAATCTGAATATGTAGGATCCAAGCAAGAGAGACTCTACAGTTGCCATATAGATCGCTTCTACAACTCATACACATAAAATCGTTGTCATATACGAATCCAAGCTAAAAGCCCTAAATTACGCTTTCCTAGGAAAAATATCAAACCAGAAAATTTGGTCCATATTGTTAATGAACCCTGCATAAAACATAACCCACAAACAGTAAAACACGGGAAAAAAAGTCAATTATTATAACGAATCGAACATAAAGAGATATAGATTTACCTCCGATGGCATAAAAAACTAAGGAAAATCCGCTTACGTATGTTCTTTAGTCATATAACAACCTTCAATTTCTCCGTATCTTTCTTTGTGGTGCATCAGATTTTGGTCTGAGAAGTTTGAGTTTCATCTATGTCGTTGGGTGATTGAAGGCGACGAGGCTACGTTTGCTTCTTAGAGAGAGGGAGGGCGAGAAAGTAAACACAAACCTCACAAATTAGAGAGGTTATCGAAGCCAGTAAGGGGAACACCAATGAAAAATCCAAGGGATTATTGAGAGAAAAACTGAGTTTTGTTTGTTTAAAAGCTATCGAAGTATCAAGAAATTTCCAATCCAGGAGACTCCAGTGCGTATACGGAGGTGATGGCGATAAATCGATTGACTGATAATTTGAGAGAGCAAGAGAAGACCCACTTGCTAGCGATTTGGATGAACGGGTGGCTTAGACGAAGGTATTTAAGGCGGTCGATCAGTTTTAGGAGAGAGACTGTGAACGATATCTATGGTATAGAAGAAGAAGAAGATGACGACTTGACTTTCTTGTTCACAAGATCATGAAATTAAGTTTTACCTGGTATTTGTTGGAGAGAATCGCTTGAATGTGGGGTGAGAGAATCATGAAGGTGAACGTTGGGAGAAGATGGAGGAGCGTAGGAGAATGGGGAGGGACGAAGAACCGGCAGAAAACGATAAATAGGGAGTTTTTTCTGGTGAGATGCCATCTGAGGAAGCATCGAATGGCTGAAAACCATAGTAATACTTATAATTCTTAGGGCACGATATTAGGGAAATAAAGATGACTCAGGGGCATAAAATGGTGGAGAAAATAGGATAGCTGCCGTCGTTGACCTACGTATGGCTGCAGAGCTCCAAAAAGGGAGAAAGATCGACAGCCACACAATCCTTTTAGGGGTTTCTTTGGAAGATGATTTTACAAAATACGAAGAGGAAGGAGGAGAGTATCAGGCGGGGTTTTCAATTTTTTTTAGGATTTCATTCGCCCCACTTGGCAATTAAAAAAATGGAAGAACGCGCGTCCGTGAAAAAAATTTATAAAGCGACAGTTTTAGACGACACGCTCTTTTATGATAGGCGCCCTCCGTGTTTTTAATTTTTTTGTTGGACACTATTTTTAGGGCACGCACAAATGTGTGTCCTCTATCTTTCAAATTTTGCAAAACTGACATTATCTTTTAGGGCACGCACAAATGCGCGTCCTCTATCAGCGAGTGTCATTGTTTGCGCGTCATTAAAGGGCTGTTTTCTAGTAGTGAATGCATGAAAGTACCTAAATACACACACTATGCCCCTAGTCTATAGGATCACAAAAACGCAAAATGATAGGCACTCAACATCTTTCCATTCCATGACAGAAATATGCCTCAAAGACCCACCCGTGGAAACAACGTAACACCGACCCCACCTGAGATAAACTCGGTTGCATTCCAGGCAACAGTATCCGTTGCGGTCATTGCAGCACTTGCGCAGATACGCAATGGAAACAACGGAGAAGGCAATGGGTAGGGAGCCGGAAGCACCAATCAAGGGACAAACCACGGAGCCGCACGAGCATGCACCTACAAAGATTTCGCCAAAGCCAAACCTCAGACCTTTAATGGGACAGGAGGCGTAATAGCTCTGAAGAGATGGATCGAGAAGGTAGAATCCGTCTTCGAAATCTGCGGATGTCCGGATGAGTGTAAGGTGAAGTTCGTAGCCTGCACGTTCATTGACCAAGCCCTTTCCTGGTGGAATGGCCATGTGGAGACCATGACACTCCCGGTGGCAAACGCGATGTCCTGGGAAGAGCTGAAGGAAATGTTCTTAGCGGAATACTGTCCTATAGGTGAGATTCAGAAGATGGAACGAGAGTTGTGGAACCTCACAGTTCAAAACTCCAACATCGATGCATACATATCCCGATTTAGTGAGCTATCTCTTCTGTGTCCCGGGATGATCACCTCAGAAGGGAAAAATGTTGAGAGGTTTATCTGGGGGTTGACTGCACCTATCCAAGGGAATGTCATTGCGCCAAACCCTGAGACGTTTGATAGCGCCAAGAGACTGGCTAAGAAACTGTACGATCATGGCAATAAGAAGGGTGCCAAAATAGTGGAAGCGGAGGTTAAGAAGGAGGAAGAGAACAAGAAAGGGAGAAACAACAAGAGAAAGGGAAAGCAAAACTCGGAATCATCTAAGAAGCAACAAACGGTGTATGTCCATGCTGCAACACAAGCTACCACCACACCACATGCTCCAGCCTCAACCACACCAAATGCTTCAAAGCAGTATTCAGGAATTCTTCCCAAGTGTAACAAATGCAACATCCACCATCATGGAGAGTGTAGAGAGATGAGTTGCACAAGGTGCAACCGGAAGGGCCATATAGCAATGTATTGTAGGACTCAGGTCCCACAGAACCAGGTGACAAACAACAACAACAACAACAACAACAACAACAACAACAACAATAACAACAACACCAATGTTGGAGCCAGCTATACCTTTTACGGATGTGGGAAGACCGGGCATTTCAGGTGAAACTGCCCCAATGCGAACAATCAAGGCACAGGAGCAGCAGGGAGAGTGCTGACAATGGGTCAGGGTGAAGCAGTGTAGGACCCAGCCGTTGCCACCGGTACTTTCCTACTTAACAACTCGTATGCATGCATCCTATTTCATAGTGGAGCGCAACGAAGTTTTGTTGTTAATAAATTCAAACACCTGCTAAATCAACAATCCCAAAAGCTCAACGAAGCCTTTACGATGGAAATGGCTAATGGGAAATCAGAAACAACAGAAGATATCTATATAGGATGTTCGTTGGCACTAAACAGGAAGGGCCAATATATATGGTTTGGGCTAGGCAAAAATGTATAGATGAGTTAGGGCATTTGACAATGTATTTTGGAGTCTTTTGTGCATGTTTGGTGTTTTCGGTCTAGATGAGCTTTCGGTTAGGGAGTGACCGAAAACAGGCTTTCGGTCAGCCTGACCGAAACCTGTTTTCGGTCCACATTAGTATATATAGTTTGTCAGGTTGTCAGTAGAATAGAGTTGATCCACAGTTGTTCATTACAGTTTTCGGTCCATTGGGTTGTATCAGACGGGTTCATGTGTTAATCATATGCAAGCTCAAGTTCATTCAATCTTCTACTTATTTTCTTCTTTATTTTCATTTGCTTGATTAATCATTGGTGTAGATCCTTCCATCAAGGACCTTACAATTGGTATCAGAGCAAAATCGGTGTCAATCAAGCTTGTAATTCAGTTCTCGGTTTTCACAGCTTTGTTCATCAAGTTCTCGGTCAATAGAAGCCTGTTTCTGCTTGAGTTTTGAAGATCAGATTGTAGCTTGTTTGGTGTGGAATCGAGATCTGCTTGGATTTCAGCTTTTCGATTGAAATCTTATTGTTTTCGGTTTGATCTTCATCAACCGAAAACATATCTTAAATTGTTTTCTGCCCAGATCTATCTTGTTTGAAGGCTGTCTTTGAGGTTTCAGTGTGTGGAAATCAATTTAGGATCAAAAATCTAAGTTTTTCATTGAAAACTGTTAGTTTTCGGTTCAATCTTCAGAAACCGAAAAATGTTCTTCAACCGAAATCTCTTGAATCTTCAGAAACCGAAAACTGTTCTTCAACCGAAATTCTTTGAATCTTCAGAAACCGAAAACTGTTCTTCAACCGAAATCCTTTGAATCTTCAGAAACCGAAAACTGTTCTTCAACCGAAATCTCTTGAACCTTCGGAAACCGAAAACCTCCTTACTCTTCAGAAACCGAAAATCTTCTCTCTCTTCAGAACCTTAAACCTTATTTTCCTTTCAACCGAATCCCTTCACCATACCGAATTCCTTGTTTTTGGTCATCACTATTCAACCGAAAACCCTATTTTCTTGATCATTTTGTTTGTTTCTCAAGTTAATTTTTTATTAAAAATTAAAAAAATAAAACAAAAACAACAAAAATCAAAAACAAAAATGGAATCTCAAAGCATGTCAGCTCACCATGAATTGGATGCGATTCTGGGAACCACTTCTCGAATTCCACGACTTTTATCCGCAGAAGGATTTCCAAAATGGAAATATCGGATCGAGAAGTACATCAAAATGATGGATTTCAAGATATGGCGAAGCATTCTTAGAGGTCCAATCCGCATCACAATCACATTGGAAGATGGAACCATAACTGACAAGCAGGCTGAAAATTACATGGATGATGATTTTGAGAGAGTCGAGGAGCAGGAAAAGGCTCTTGCCACACTTACCATGGCATTATCTCCGGAAATTGCTCAAGGTTTCCGTGAGTATACATCAGCAAAGGCCTTATGGGAAGCACTGATTGAAGTCTATGAAGGCAATGAAGACATGAAACAGAGTCGCCAAGACATGCTGCGACAAAAATTCAATATGTTTAACCATGTCTTGGAAAAAACACTTGAGAATCAGTTGCAAAGGTTTATCACACTTACCACATAAATGAGCTCTGCTGGTGTGATGGTTACAAGATCGGAGATCAACAAGAAGTTGCTGAACTCTCTGCCAAAATCCTGGGATATGAATGTCTCAGTGATCAAAAAGACCAAAGATTTGAATAGGTTGAGTTTAGCTGAAACAATGGCGATCATTAAGGCTTGCGAGCTCGATGATAAGCAAAGGGATATTAACCATGTCAATTCATACTCCACAGCAAATCTTGGGATACAAACCACCAACAACACTGCTTTCTCAAGCTTCTCAACTTCTCAAGCTACTCCAGTTTCTCATGTTCCTCAATTTCAACCCTATGTGGCTCATCAGCCCACCTCATACGTCATCCCTTCAATGCAACACATTCAAGTTCCTCAACCTTAGACCTCTCTTCAACAATTTGGTTCTATTGTTGGTTCATCCTCAAATGCACCCATTCAATCTCATGGAATCATTTCTCAAGCTTCATCTTTAAAAGAAACGGAAGAAAATCTGGCCCTCGCCACTAGTCTGGTGAACTGCTACAATGCTTTTGTGGCCGGAGAGATTTCCCCACAACTATCTTTTGCTGACCTAGACCAGATCCATCCAGAGGATGTGGAGAAGATGGATATCACATGGCAAATGGCTATGGCTGTTTTTAGGGCAAAACAATTCTCATAATATGCAAACCTTGGATCTATGTTTGTCTAAAATACATGCAAAATATGATTTCCAAGTTTCATAATCCTATCTAGCATACATGGGGAACTTTTATCATAAAAGATGGCTAGAATTACATACCTTGTAGTTGATTTGATTCCTTGAAAAACCTTGAGAGCCTAGTACCCCAAGTGTGATGTCTCAAATGTTTCACACAACACCAAATGCTTTGGAATAACTTTAGAGAATGTATAACACTTGTATAAATCCGCTTGCCCTCTCTTGTTCTTAGTGTAACCGATTTTGGTGAGTATCATGTTCCTTATATAGTGTGTCACATCTAGGGTTACACCATGTAAACCCTAATGTGACATGACTCTTCAATTCCATGACCCATGGGTTTGTAACTCCCATGGAGCATCCTATGGGTTTAACCCAACTTGATAATCCATGGAGCCTTTTAGCACACTATTCAAGTTATGGATGATTTACATAATCAACCCATATATTTAATTAGTCATCCTTTGATCACTTAATTAATTCCAAATTAATTCTTGATCAATAATAATTAAATAATACTATTAATATATATGAGCTTATAATATTAATA